TTATTGGGGAATTGGGGAAGGGGAACAGCCAAATTGTTGTCCTTCAATCTTAGTTGTGGAGGGCGCAGCTAGCTCAGCTCCAAGTCCAGTCGCGCTGCTCAGCTCAAGGTGCTGTGTTCAATCTTGGTTGCGGGTGGGCACAGCCCACCATCCCATGCGGGAGTGGAACCGGCAACCTTGTTAGGAGCACGTGCTCTCACCAGCTGAGCCATCCTGCCACCTGTTGGCAGCTCAGCTGCAGCTCAGCTCACACACAGGTCACTGGCCCATGTGGGAATCAAGCCGGTGACCCTGTTGCTCAGAGCTCGTGCTCTTAACCAACTGAGCCACTCGGCTGGCCCTTTTATTTGGTTTTTACATTACATTTTAATTCTGTAATTGATACATGAATCTTCTTTAAGAAATTCAGGTTGGCACCAACAAACATCTCCCCTCCTCTAAATTCTGGCTTCCTCCCTCCCAGAAGTGTTAACTCAGTTGTTGTCTTTAGATGTGTTTTGGATGCTGACACACAGCTACACATACAAATATATAGTGTTGCTCTGCCATGTTTTTAATCTTCTCCAGAAGACACAGAGGTGTGTGTCTGCTCTCCTTGCTAGACTGTGAGTTCACTGAGATTACGGACCCCATCTGATTTACCATATGTACCCCCAGTGCCTGGAGCAAGGTTGGTGATCAAATACACCTGCCAAATAAGCAAATGCCAATAGATCTTATGCAGTAGACCAACATGGGGAGAGTGAGATGTGAAGAATGGTCTACCTGGCCATTCATCCATCCATCCCCCATATAACAAGCACCTGCCACATGCCAGGCCCTGAGCTATGTGTGACCACAGGAGGGAAATTACAGTCCCTGCTCTTATGGGTGACAGTCCAGTGGGGAGATGGATATTAAATAATCAGTAATCATTAGTTGATTACTATTCTGAAAGTCCATCCAGTCCATGTCTGGAGGCCAGATAAGTTTTGCTGGGAGGTGACATTTAAGCCAGTTGAAGAGGCAAAAGGAAGCACAGAGCACTCCTGGAAGACAGAATAACGTGTCCAAAGCCCCCCATTAGCCAGCCTGAGTTTGGGGTGTCTGAGTAACTGAGAGGGAGCCCGCGTGGCCCGCGTGGGGGTGAGGACTCAGGGAAAGCAAACGCGGAGGCAGCCACAGCTGCTCCTCCCACATGCCCTGGGCTCCCACAGGCTCTCACCGTACGTCGTCTTCTCCACCAGCCGCCCGTCCTCACAGAAGTCATCTGTGGCTTTGCCCAGGAGGCCGCGCACTGTGTAATCCTATGAGGACATGGAGGGGAAGGTCCCGACAGTGTCCCCGCTCTAAGCCTCAGTGCTGAGGAGGGAGGTGCTAGACTGGGGTTGGGGGTGGGGTCCCTCAGGTCTTCCCTCAGGGAGCTCTGGCACTCAGGCCCTACCGGCTGCCCCACTGTCCCCTGGGGAAGGGCACCACACTTTCCTGACAGTGAGGACTGGCAGCCTGCAAAGGGTGCTGACGACTATACCGTGACCAGCCCATGCCTCCACACCTCTCACTCCAGCCAAACCTGACCATTTATCAAGCTGGGCCCTTCCTAGCACGGCCTGTCGGCTTCTCTCAACCCTCTAAGTAAGATCTATGTAGCTAACTGCCATAAATCAGAGTTATGACGATAATGACAATAGAGATGATGACAACAGTGAAACTGAGCATTTATCATGTGTCAGTGACTGTGCCAAGTATATTATATGTAGTCACTGATTTAATCTTCAAAGTGACCCTGTAGAGGAGGTACTATTATCATTCCCATTTTAGAGATGAGAAAATGGAGGCACGCAGATGTTTAGTAATCCACCCAAGGACCCATAGCTGGAAGAGGGGTAGAAGCTGGTTTTGAACAAAAGCCATTTGGCTCCACAACTTGTGCTACTAATCATTAAAAGTTCGGGCCCTCGGGGGCCAGCCGAGTGGCTCAGTTGGTTAAGAGCTCACTCAAGAGTGCAAGCTCTGAGCAACAGGGTTGCCAGTTCGATTCCTGGCCCGAGCTGAGCTGCCAAAAGGTGGCAGGATGGCTCAGCTTTAAAAAAAAAAAAAATTGGGGGCCCTCTAATATGACACCTCTGCACAAGCTGGTAGTGCCAGACTCCATGGCCTCAGCCTGGACACAGGCTCCCTGATACCTGGACAATAACATCCACTTCTCAGTCTTGGGGAGAGAATGGACTGGTGACATGTTAAGGCTCTAGTGCCAGACAGATCCAGGTTCAAATACCAGCTCTGTCCCTTTCAGGCGGCATGACCCTCGGAGCAAGTGATATCCTCTCTCTGAACCTGTTTTCTCATCTGTAAAATGGGCTAAGAACAGATCCCACTTCATGGGGAAGTTGTGAGGCGTCCACGTACAGTGCTCAGCACAAAGCAGTGAATATGCAATAATGCCAGCAGTTGTTATTATGTTATTGTTATAGTCTTCCATAGCACATGACCATAAAAAATGCTTGCTATAGGCTGGGTGTTTCCCATGGAACCCTCCCTCTTGGCTTCAGAATCCTGCCGGTGACCCCCTGGGAAAGGAAGGTCTGTCCCCAGCACCCGTACCTTGGTGAGGTGAGCGTTGTACATGTCAGTGAGGAGACTGCGTCCATGTCCCACGCCGAGCACTGAAAGGCACCCCGCCTGATCTCACACTTGGCTCCCCTTTCCCGTTTCCCTGGGACCCCAACACCACACCCACCATCAGAATATTCCCACCTCCAATGCCGCTGCAGCCAGCAAGGGGGAAGGGAGAGCTTCTACAGGGGGCAAGTGAGTTCCTTTGGGTATATATAAATGAAGATTTCTAGGCCCCACCCACAACTGTCTCTGACTTGGGGAGGGGCTTCTGATATACTCAAAAGTAAGAGACCACTGGCCCAGACCTGCACTCACATCAGGGNTATCATCTTTTCCTGCATAGAAAAATTTTTTCCTTTTCAGTTGGTCACATCTGTTGATCTTTTCTCTTACAGCTTGTTTTATGTCATAAGTAGAAAAGCTTCTCCCACTCTTTCCTCAGTCATCAGTTCTGGCTCATGAACAACTCTTGTCAACTCTTTTTATCCACCCACTGCCCCATCAGCTGCCTGGCCTTTCAAGGCAGAGCTTGGCCCCTCAGAGTCCCAGTGCTGGCCTGGACCAGGGAGCTGCTGGGTGACCAGCCATGGCCTCAAGCTCTTTTCTAGTTCTGCTGCCACCCGGGGGGCTGCCGCCTGGATGGCATCCTGGATGCTGTGTAGGTCCCACTGGGTCCTCAGGAGGGCATCGTCTATGGTGAAGAAGCCATCACGTGTACGCCGCACTTGGGAGCAGACAGCGGTGGTCTTCAGCTCCAGGCCGATCTCATGCACCAGCTTTCGCAGCTGCTTCTGCGTCTCATGCATGCACTGCACCTCTACCAGGGACACACAGAACACATACGGTGGGCACAGCCTCTGGTGTTCACTGAACTACATGCTCACCCCTTGATACCTCCTGGCTGTGTAATGACCTTAGCAAGACACCTTAGTTCTCCAGGTCCTTGCTAGTCATAAGTGCAGCCCAAGGGCCATCCTGTGGGTGCTATCTGAAAGCTTGTTAGACCTACAGAATCTCAGGCCCCACCCACATCTGCTGAGGCAGACTCTGCCTTTCAAGAAGACGCCCAGGTAACCTGTGGGCAGGTTAGTCAAAGCGCTGCTCTAAGACTTGGTTTGCTCATCTGTAAAATGGGTGGTTGTGAGGAGTCTAAGGGATAATTGATATAAGGGGCTTAGCATGGGGANTCCCTGTCCTCCCTTGACCTGGACAAGCTTCAGAGCCTACCTGAGGGCTCCCTCGGCCGCGAGTATCTCCATTTCCTGGATATGAATGTGAGTTTCCAGCTTCTGTGCATTTGGCAGTCACCAGGAAGGTTGGATAAGTGGCATGGGAGTGATGTCCCAAGGAAGGAAGAGCCCTGAGCTGCCACTATGGGCAGGGGTGCTTTTCTGTCTCTTATGCCAAGGCTTTGTCATTTTCTGTGGGACAGGTAAATGAGCCAGTAACATCGCTCCAAGCGATAATACTTGCCAATATTTATTAACCTCTTGTTGCATGCCAACCTGCTCATACATGATTTCACTGATTCCTCCCAATAACCCTATCAAGTATGTTTTATTATTATCCCCTTTTAATAGTTGAGGAAACTGAGGCTCAGAGGCGTTAAGCAACTTGCTGACTTCACAACCAGTATTAGTGGCAGCAATACTCAAACCCAGCTCATGCTGTTAACTGCTTCACTGTGTTCCCCTGTTCCAGAGACACTGCTTTCCCTAGGGTATAACAAGTTATGGCACTCTGCACCCCAGGCAGGGAGAACAGGGACTCGGGGTGGGGGGGGTCCCAACTACTGAGGAAGGAACTCATTCACTTGTTCAGCATCTGCCACGTGCCATCCATTGTTCCAGGTGCTGGGGACACAACGGTGAACTAGACAAACAAAGTCCCTGCCCTCATGAAGCTAATATTCTGGTTGGGGAGGTAAATAAAGCAGTAAAAGAAAGAAATTTTCATATAAAAATTCACGCAAAATATTTGAGTACTTAGAACATACCAGACACTGTTCTCAGCAATTGGGACACGGTGAACAGAACCAACAAGGAGGCTACCTGTGGAGCTTCCATTCTAGAAGATGGTGCTGTGAGAACAACAGTCACCATGATAGAGGACAAGGGTGGGGGGCGGCAACTTCAGACAGAGTGGTCACAGGAGGCCCCTCTGAGGAAACTTGAGGAGGAGGAGGAGCCAGCCCTGAGGAGAGATGGGAGGAACATTCTGAGCAGAGGGCCTGGCACATGCAAGGCTTTGTGTGTTTAAGGGAAGAACTGATCAATGTGGCTATAGAGTGAGTGGAGAGAGGCAGCCAGTAGGATGGGATCAGCCGAGCCAGGCCCTGCCAACCATGGGAAGGAGTCTGTATTTTGTAATAGGCGCAATAGGAAGCCATTGCGGGTTTCAAGCAGGAGAGTAATATGACCTGATTTATAAAAGGACCTTAGAATACAGCTGGGTATTTTCCCTGTTACCCCANGCCGGCGACTCACAGCAGCCCAGCTCCAGGTTGAGCTGTTGTTCACCATCTTAGCTGTAGAGGGCAGTGTCACTGGCCCTCATGTGGGATCCAAACCAGGGCCCTGCTGCACAGAGCTGGTGTCCCAAGTCAGCTCTTAACCAACGCACTATTCAGCCAGCCCTCAGCCCTGTGAGGTTAAAAAAAAATACATAGAGGACCTGGGTTCAGATCCTCTGTCCAGGGTCCTGGCCCCACAGTGGATTCTGAGTCACAGGCAATTCTGAAGCAAGGAGTCCAAGACCTGCTTTGAGGATACAGGACAACCTGCCTCAGGTATAAAGGTTCAAGGTAATTCTCATTCTCAGGCAGCGGAGCCAATCAGTGGACAAGGCATCCCCACCTAGGACTTTATTGTCCCCTGATTATCACAAACCATTTAAAACTGCACTGGATGTCCCCTTGGCCTCCAGGCACCTTCCTCTAGCTCACTTTTGGCTCTGTGCCTCCTCTCCTTCAACCCTTTATTCAAATGACCCCTTCTCGGGCAACCCTATTGGATAAGCATTGTCCCCTCCCCGTCCCCCAGTGGTGTTTGGGATGTCTTGTTTACTGATGTATTTCTGAGTACCTACAACAGGATCTGACAAACTGAAGGCACTAAGTAAATATTTGTTGAACACATCGGCTGCAAACCAGATCTTTGGGGAAGCCGTCCATCCTAGCAGCCACAATCTGCTCAATGGAGGAAGAGGTTGGGCCTTCCTCAGAGCCAGCCTGGTGTCTCCGGCTACCGCCACAGGGTCTGGAGGAAGGAACACCTATACCTGAGGGACCCACAGGGAGAAATGGCCACTATCTATTGTTAAATGAAAGAAACCAATTGTGACACACTGTGTATAATTCCTTTGTTAATAAATTAACCATTTGGGTTCATTCAACACACACACACACACTAAACACGTATGCAGGTAAAAGAAAAACTCGTTTCCTCTCTGCACACAATACTTCTGACACCCTAACGAGCGGGATTTTCCACACCAAGCAAATTCTGCAATTCTCGGTGGACATGGCCTGGGTGTCTTGTAACTCACTTCTGACACTAACTGCCTGGTGTTAACCCAGATCGCACAGGTTAGGGTTCAGACGCTAATCACAAGTCTCAGATTGTCACCTGTACTGCTGACCGACTGGCTATAAAGAGGGAGTTCCCACGACCTCTTCCTCGTTTGATAATTTGCTTGAACACTTACTTATGTTTACCTTTTTATTATAAAGGATACAGCTCAGAAACAGGCAAATGGAAGAGATGCACAGGGCAAGGGATGGGGGAGGGCCACAGAGCTTCCATGCCCTCGGGTATGCCATCCTCCCAGAACTTACATGTGTTCACTAACCCAGAAGCTCTCTGAGTCCCATCATTTAGATTTCTGGGCCCCACTCTAGACATACTGAGTCAGAATCCAAGAGCTGAAGTTAGAATCTGGATTATTCAAAAAGAAGTCTCCAGGTGATCTTTTTCCCCCCCCCCCAAAGACTGTTTTTTTAGAACTTATTTGCAGAAAAATTGAGGTGACAGCACAGAGAATTCCCATATACTCAGCACAGAGTTTCCCACATTATTATATTCTTAACATCTTACATTAATGATACATTTGTTACAATCAATGAACCAATACTGATACATTATTATTAACTAAACTAAGGTCCAGGGATTAGATTTCCTCTACTTTTACCTAGGTTCTTTCTCAGTTCCAGGACACATATTACATTCAGGCGTCTTATCTCTGTAGGCTCCTCTTGGCCATGATGTTTTCTCAGACCTCACTGCTTTTGATGACCTTGACAGTTCAGAAGTACTGGTCAGGCATTTTGTAGGATGCCCCACTGCCAGAAGCTGTCTGACGTTCTCCTAATAAGACTGGGGTTATAGGTTATTGGGAGGAAGACCTCAGAGGTAAACAGCCATCCTCATCATATCCTGTCAAAAGTACATACTAGCAACATGACTTGTCACTATTGATGTTGACCTTGATCACCCGGCTGAGGTAGTCTGTCAGTAGTTTGGCTGCCCTGTGGCAGTAGCCAGAGACACCAGGCTGGCTCTGAGGGAAGCCCAACCTCTTCCCCCATTGAGCAGATTGTGGCCGCTAGGATGGGGCGGCTTCCCCAAAGATCTGGTTTCCAGACAGCGTGTTCAACAAATATTTACTTATTGCCTACAATCTGTCAGATCCTGTTGTAGGCACCAGGAAATACAATCAGCGAGGCTTCCAACTGATTTTTATGCCAGAGAAACAAGAGGCGATGGAGAGAGAAAGGTCTCTGATAACCCTTTAAGGTCATGTTCAAAGGAAAGTAGCCACAGCAATCAGACAGCTCAGTGCTAAGTAGGGACCGTGACAAGCACCTGACCACGACTTCATTTGTCCCCACCACAACCTCACGAGGCGGGCCAGAATCATTTCTTTTTTATTATTTTTTATTGTGAAATACACATTTTTTAGAATTAGTTTTAGCTGTACAACACAGTCCAATAGTTATACTTTTTACCCCTCGAGGTGACAACCCCCCTCCCCCAATCTGCCGCTCCACTTCCCCTGCCAATATCATACATATCCATTACAATTCCCTTGACTCCACTCCCACACTATCCTCCACGTCCCATGACTATATATATATCTATATATAGATATATATATACACACACACATATATATACATATATATATATATATATTCACTCATAGTTGACCAAAATCATTCTTCTTATGTTATAGATGAGGGAGCTGAGCTTTCGAGGAGCCATAGCCAGAAGCTCATGGAACCACATCTGCTTAGCACTTTTCTGAGCTGCGGGCTGCCCGGGGGTGTAGAGTGAGGTTAGCCTGGTGGCAGGGCCTCCTCTCCCAGGTTGGCAGCAGAGACAAGACAGGCAGTGCTTCTTCCTGTCAGGGCCTAAACCCGAGCCCTAGCCAGAGACCAACTGGCTCCTTCTGGCCAGAATGCTCCAAGTGGGAAATACCCACATGCCTAGAGGTTAAAATACAACCAGGCCAGGGCCGGCCAAGGGGCGCATTGGTTGAATTGGCTTGGGACGCCAGCTCTGAGCAGCAGGGCTCTGGTTCGGATCCCACATGAGGGACAGTGACACTGCCCTCTACAGCTAAGATGCTGAACAACAGCTTGACCTGGAGCTGGGCTGCTGTGACTCGCCAGTGATGGCATGGGCTGCAGTGAAGCTGCAGTGGGCTGCCATAAGCTACCGTGAGTGGCCAGCAGCTGGTGTGAGTGGCTGGCAGCCAGCGTGCACTGCCAAGAGCCACCGTGAGCGGCTGTCTAGTGGCCAACGACTGATCTGCCTC